ATTGATTTTCCTGACCGCTTACTCCTTGACCTTTGGAGAGGAGATCAATGTGCAGAAATACCTTGGGCCTAATCGTGGAGGACCGGGAGCTTCCACAAAGCACATCCTAGAAGCGCGCAGTCTCTGCATCATTTTTCTCCTAAAATGGGGCTTTGTTTCCCCAAATCAGGTTTGCAACTGAATTATGTTCGTCCTGGAGTTTGACTCGTGTGGTAATCAGCTTGTGAGATGTTGAGACTGCCTGAGTGACACGTTGCATTGTTTTGCCTTGAATAAAGGAAACAATCACTGTTGTCCATTATGCTTTTGAATGTTCTGTTTTCATATCTTGGAGCTGTTCGTCGTTGGGTGGATTTCTTCCTCATTGAATTGAAATCTGCACGGTCTTAGCAACAGCCTTATTCTGGGGGTGAATCTGGGCCCCAAGACCCTCACCAGGTCGTTTTCCCAGGACTCTCCTGAGAGCTGTACCCCCTGTACGTGACTCAGGACCACTTCTCCCTCTGCGCAGGTGGAAATGGCTGTTGACTCTCGCAGCCCTCAGCAGGTTCCTTTAGTCCTACTGGTTGTCCAGTCCCGTGTCCTGTGTCCATTTCCAGAGCCAGGATGTGGGTGGTTCAGCGGCCCTGAAGCACGTGGCCGTAGGTAGGGGGAGGGCTTCCCTAGTGGCGTGTGAAAACACTCCTGTGCACGCCTTGACCCTCACACCACTACCACACTCACAACACTTCTGACGCCAGATGTGGCAGGATTTTCCCCACACCAAGCAATTCTCTGCGACACCAGCTGGGTGTCCTGCCATTCAATTCCATCCTGACGCTAACTGGAGTTAGCACAGACCCCACAGGTTAAGGGCTCAGTCCCATAGGACGGCCCCCACTTCACATGCCAATTGCAAGTCCCAGGTTGTCACCTGTACTCACTATCTGAATGACCAGCTGTATGTTAGGGTTCCTGTGAATCCCTCCTCAGGCTCAGTAATTCAGGGAAATACTTACCTTTACTGATTTATTATAAACAATGTAGTAAAGGATATGGATGAACACCCAGAGGAAGAGATGCGCAGGGCAAGGCATGTGGGAAGGCGGGCTACCCCCCTCCCCCGGCACCACCCGGAAGCTCTCTGAACCCCGTACTTGCGGGATTTTTATGGAGGCTTCCTCATCACTGATGATTAACTCGACCCCCAGTCCCTCTTCCCTTTCTGGAGGATGGGGGTGGGACCGAAAGTTCCAAGCTTCTAATCCTGGCTTGGTCTTTTTATTGCCCACTAAGCATCACTTCGTTGGAACAAGACACTCCTGCCGCTGCAAGGGGCAGTCCAGGGCTCCCTGAGCGCCCCGTGAGGAATGCCCCCGGGGATCTCATCACTTAGGAATCCCAAGAGTTTTAGGAGCTCTGTGCCAGGAACTGGGGGCAGAGACCAGGATCTACTTTTGGTATTATTCACATCAGGGAATACCAGGGTGTGGCCACCTGAAGGAGAACTGTCACCCAGATGAGTCCCAGGCGCCCACTCCAGCGCTGGGGGCAGGAGTTGTGGGGAAGCCGGTGTCCGAAGGTGAGGGCACAGCATGAGTGCAGAGCAGAAGGAGCAGGGGAGCCAGGGGGATGACTTGCCCCGCTCCAGTCCAGGGCTGGGCCGCCTGGGCCACCCTGCCTCCACCGTGGCGCTGCGGGCCCGCCTCCCTCCCACGGAGGCCTCTGCTGCATCCTCTGTCGGATCAGCGGCAGCTCAGGCCTTGGGGAGAGAAAGTCTCAGCGGTCGGCTGGCTCTGCTTCCTGGGCGGGGGTCGGGGCCCCTGGGAGGCTTGGTTGGGATACAAAGGAAGGCATTTTGGCATTTTAAGAATGTGGGTAATTTGCAAACTGCACAGTCTCTGTGCTTGAGTGTGTGCGCGTGAGCTGCAGCGTCGAGCTCAGCAGGGCTGCGCTGGGAAAAAATGGGCAGCACTGACGACTGCTTCTGGGCCAGGCTGGGAGCCGCGGTGGGCAGGGACCGCTCTCCAGAAAGCCTGTTCTTTGGGGTCAGAATGTCTGGCAGGACCCCTAAGCTGACACTCCAAGGACTGAAATTTCCCCTTGTTTTTGCCCAGAAATGTCTGGCTCCGTCTGCCCACCGCCCTGTTCTCTCCCTCCCTGCTGCCCGCCTGCCTGTTTTGGCCGTTGGAACATTCCAGCCGGGGCTGGGCTGTGTGGTGGTGAGGGGAGCCAGCAGGAGACAGGACTTCTGGAAGGGCCTCGGGACGGCCGGCCAGGCTTCCCTTCTGGCACTGACCTGACTCCCTAGGGCCTCGGGTCCCCGTCCCAACAGGGAAGGGAACGAGGGAGCCCAGAGCCGCCCTTGGGTTCTCGCTCCCCTTTCCTGGGTGTGGCCTCCTGACCTCACTCTCCATTCCTCCCTTCTCGACTGATCCAAAACCCAGTCTGAGGCTTTGAGATGGGGAGGTCAGGAGGGAAAGGAGGCACGCCGAGAGGGGCTGCAGGGCCGTGCGTGTGTGCACATGCGTGTGCACACAGGGTTCTCTCTCCATTGGGATAAGGGCTCCACCCGGCGGGGTCCGGCCCAGCCTGGCCCACGCTGCCTCCATGCCTTGCTGGAACCACTTCCTCCGTGGCCCTAAAGAAGCTGCTGCGGCGCCTCTGTGCACCACAGAGCCACTCCGTTTGGGCCTGGGTTGCCTGGAAGGGCATGGGAGGGTGGGGGACAGGCAAGGGAAGGGTCAGGAGCACCGCAGTGTCTGGCTTGAAGGCCTGGGGCAGGCGCCAATGGAAGCAGGACAAGCAGGTCAGGCGAAGCCGATGGGGTCAGTTTTGGACAGAGGGGCTTTGAGGTCCCCAAGACCCCAGCATCTTGTCTGCATCCCCCAGGAGCTGGGGGAAGTCACAAGGCCACCTTCGAAGAGAAGCATCTGTGGAACTGTCAGTGGCGCAGGGACCTGGCTGGGAGCTGTGGGGGCCGCAGAGGAGTGAGGAATGTGCTGCCCCTGCCCGCGGCAGCTAGGACTTGAAGGCTGGCTTTGATGGGCACAGGCCGCTCAGGCACCTCATGGAAGACAGAGCTGGAGCTGGAGCAGGGGCTGCAGGTGTTGTGGGAGCACAGGGGGGACAGCCATGCCACTGGGGCAATCCAGGAAGGCTGCAGAGTGGAGGTGGCAACTGCACTGGGATCGATAGGAAGGGCTGAAGTTCACAAGCAGGGGTGGAGTGGTGGGCATGGAGTCGGTAAGTAACCCCGAGAAGCCCAGAGTCTGACTCTTTGCCTTAGCAGGGCAGACCCCTCCCCTCCAACCCCTGCTCCCACCCCACGTTCTGCCCGCTGGGCAGTCCTAGCGAGTCTGCTCAAGGCTGAGGCAGGGCACACCCCTTCCCAGATGGGGGCCTGGGAGCAGAGTGAGGCAGGGGGACAGCCCAGAGCCCGCTGGCGCCATGTGTGAAAAGCCCCAGACTCTGAGGGGCCTCTTCCCTGCCCACAGCCTCAGGAAGCGGCTTCCTGCAGGCCCGGGTCACAGGCAGGCCAGCGGAAGCCGCGGCCTTGGTTTGTGAGTGTCGCCTGAGAGACCCGGATCCTGGCTGAGAACGGGGTCAGCCTTGCAGTCGGTCCCACCCTGCGCGGTGGCCCAGCCCAGCAGTGGCCCAGACGTCCCCTGCGGCCTCTGTCCCAGAGAACAGGCCGGGGCAGGGAGAGGCCAGGCTGCAGAAATCCCCTGATGCCAACCCGGACGACGTCCCCAAGGAGGCCCTCGGGCTCCTGTGAACAGGTCTGTCGTCTCTCCAGAGAGCTCTGCCTGGTGGAGGTGGTAGGTGTTTCCGGCCCCTGCCAGAGGGCAACAGTCAGAGCCTGGGGAGGGCTTGTCCCCCAACTCCAGGAGGGGGCCAGGGCCACTTGTTGGGTCTCATCCGCACCTTGACCAGAAGCTCCCAGGTGAGCCTCAATTGTATTTCATTATCATTCCCTCTTCGCCAACAGTCCCAGCCCCATTTCTCACTTGACTCATTTATTCAGGCAACAAATGTTTACTGCCAGCAACAGGAGGGGACGGTTAACAAAAAAAGACCCAGAGTCCCAGTCCTCATGGAGACTACCATCCTCTCTGAGAAAGTCCTGTCCTCCTCTGAGGCTCAACCAAACACCGCCTCCTCCAGGAAGCCCCTGACGACACAGCCATTCGGAGAGCTCTGTCCTCTGGCTTTGTCTGTCCCTCTCTCAGGGCTCAGGCCACATCCCCTTCAGCCTTAGGATGGCCTTGAGTAAGTCGACTTGGCTCTGCCTCCTGGGGACCAGCGCACGGAAGGGTCTCGAAGCAGCAGCGACTGCCACCATCAGCACTAGCCACCAGCTAGAGCGGACAATTCTCCCCCGGGGACTGGAGCCCCGATGGGGGCGTTTCTGCACTGTGCCCTGGGGACTGGGGGAAGCTCTCCTGGCCCGAGTAAGCACTTCTAGCGGACAGTGACCCCTCTCTCTGCCACAGGAGGCTCTGGCCAAGGCCAGCCAGGCAACAGAGAACGACTGTGCAGAAGAAAATGTAGGCGACGCCTGAGCGACCAGCAACTCTGCGGCAGGCGTGGGCCAGGCAGCAGGCTGGCATTGAAGCTCCAGCCCCCCCACACATGCTCTGAGCAAGGCCAGCTGCCGCACCCGGGCTGCCTCACTCACCAGCACCATCCCGGGGGGCGGGCTGGGCAGGAGGCGCATGGGAGAGCCCTCAAGCCAGAAGGCCCAGGCAGGCCAGACAACGGCTCCTTGTTCCTCTAAGTCCACCCGCTTAGATAACTCACACCAAACGCACAGGCCTGCAGGCACCGGGCCGCGGGGACAGCACCCGGATGGACAGGAACCAGCCTAGGTATGGTGTGCTTGTCTGACCGCACGGTGCTGCCCGTGTCCCCAGGAATGCCCAGTGTGGCGGACAGCTGTTGACACTTGCCACGCAGCAGGGCTTCGGCCCCTGGTTGCACTGGGTCTATGCAAGAACACTCCTGGACTTTTCAACCACACGAGTCAATAAACTTTCTTTTTATTGTTAAGTCAGTCTCAGTAGGGTTTCTGTCACTTGCAATTAAGAGTCCTAACAGAAAACACTGCTGTCCCCAGCCACAGGGAGCGATGAGGACAGGACCCAGAGAGGCCTCGGATGCCTGGACAGCTGGAGAGAGGCCAGATGGGGCCAGAGGCTGTGGCAGGCCGCCCTACACCGGGCTGCAGCCCCTGGGCCTCTTGCCTGGCTCTGGGAGAGCCCATGTGCCTGGTCTGACAAGGCCCGGCCAGCCCGGCGGGGGGCGTCTGCAAGGTGGCTGGGCAGGCCTTGATTCCTGGAGGCCCCTCAGGACTGTCTTCCTGGGGGTGTACTTGTGTGCGGGGCAGGGATGTGGTCCCAGGCCTCAGGGACGAGGGGACCTCATTCCAGTCCTAGCTCCCTCTGGTCCCTATCGGTGCCTGGGGTCATCTAATTCAAAGGGTCATCTGGAGCTAGAGCTCATAGGGCTGAGAAATGGCATTTGTTCCCTAAGGGTCTAAGTGTTCTGGGTCTGCTAAATGGAAAGATAATTACCTGAAGTGGAAAGAGAAGGATGTCAACATCCAGAAAAAAGGCACTGGGAGTCTAGAGAGAAAGAGCCACTCCTGCTGTGCCCACCACTGTGGGGTAGGGTCCTTGGGGGCGCTGGGCTGCTTCGGGGACTCTGCCCTCTCAGGGCCGTGGGCAGTGGAGTCTGCTTGGATGGGAAGTGACCCGAGGCCCCTCCTTCACGACTGCAGACCCGGCGTCAGCTGTGGAAGGACGACCAGGAGACGCCCGAGGTGTAAAACTCCACGTGGCTGGGCCACTCGCCATCCCCACTGCCCTCCTTGTCCTCGTCTGAGTCGTAGTCGTCTCCACTGGACGCTCCGCAGATGGCCCCGGCCAGGCAGGCCGGCTGCCCGGGGGCCCCGGTGCCCGGCTCCTGCTCCTCTTCCTCCTCCTCCTCTTCCTCCTTCCGCTTCTGGGCGGCCAGCTCGCGGTAGCAGAGGCTGCAGACGCGCAGGGGCTTGGGCGCGAGGCGAGGCAGGAGGAAGCGCTCGCGGGAGCACTCGGCACAGACCACAAAGCCACACTTGCGGCAGTGGTGGCGCCGCGTGAGCGCCGAGAAGCGCGTCTGCGTGCACCGCATGCAGATGTCCGTGGCCTTGTCCGGGATCCAGGGCGCCGCGTGCTCCGTGCTGGGCTGGCGGCCTGTGGCCAGCAGCTGCCGCCGCACACACTCCTCAATGTGGCTGATCCACTCCTGGCGCTCCGTGGTGGAGGCGGCCGACACCACGAAGGACTTCTTGGCCGTCTTGATCATCCAGCGGTTCTTGGCCTGCAGGGTCTCGGGCAGCGGCTCCAGCGTCACCTCCTCCAGGGGGATGACATGCTGGCTGCGGTACCTGCGCTTGTTGAGCACGATGCTGCCGTAGACCAGGATGTCGTTGAAGAGGAAGAAGATGCGCGGCTTGGCCTTCTTGCGGCACTCCTTGGTCAGCACGCCCTCGCCCAGCAGCACCCGGCCTGGCAGGGCCAGCGGCTGCCCCGAAGCCCCGAAGCAGCTCTCAACGGCAGCAATGCGCTGGCTGTTGATCTCCGTGTTTGCCAGGTAGTCCACCATGTTCTCCGGCAGCTGGGCTGTGGGCGGAGCAGCAGAGGAGGGGTCAGCTTCTCCTGGCACAGCCGGGAGTCCAGGACCACACTGCCCTCCCCCTAACCCACCGAGCCAGACAACCCACTTATCACCACTGTGACTCAGCTCACCCCGACGGCCACCCGACCAAAGAATCTCACTGCCCCAGGAGCCAACCCTCAGACGGGGGTTCCCGGGCAGCGACGGAGGTCCCTAGCCAGGGGCGTGTGGAGGCAGCAGGGAGGGGCAGGCAGCAGTGGAGATGTGGGGCTAAGCAGGCTGCCCCTGCAGGCTGTGGGGCTCAACCCCTGGGGAGCTGTGGAAGCCAGGCTAGAACACGCCTGAGCTGTCCACCCAAGGGAGAAGGACACTGAGCCCCGACTCCCAGCAGGGCTCCCGGGAGCACGAACCACTGGCAATTTGGGCCTGCCCCAGATGGAAGGGCACAGGTGCATGTCCGGGAATAGTGAGTGCCGGGCAATGGGGTGTCTGCAACCCCAACCCATCACTGACTCCCCATCCACCGAGCCAAACCATCACAGACCCTGCAACCCACTCACTCAGCGCCCCCGAGCCCAGCAGTCACCACACCAGCCCCACAGGTACCATGTGCTGAGTGCCTCTTCATGTTAAGCGTGACGGTCTCCTTTAGTCCCGACTCCGACCCTGGGAGGCAGAGCCCCCTTGACTGGAGGGTAAGGGAGGCTCTGCTAGGAAGTAGGGGGCCCAGACCTTGCCGCTCGGAGACCATGCTGCCACAGTGCCTTTGCCCATGGAGCGAGGGGCCCACTCCGTCCTCCTCTGCAAGCACTAGATGTCGGTGGCCCCATAGCTCATCTGGGCTCCCTCTGCTCTGTCCACACGCACTCCTGTGACCCACCAGACCCATGGCTTTGAAGACCACCCAAACACTGCCGACTGCCCAGGTCAAGCCTGCAGTCCTAGCTTCTCCCTTGAGCTGTGGGTGTGGACGTCCACCCGCCGTGACCTCCTGCCTGTCATCTAAGAAGGTCTTCAAACTCAACATGCCCTACACAAACCCAGTTTTTCCCTCTAGCTCTTCTCCATAAATGGAACCACCATTCACCCAGTTGTTCAAGCCCCAAATCTACAGCTCATCCTTGAATTTCCTCTTTCCTATACCCCCAACATTCAACCCATGAGCAAGTTTCATCATTTTTATCTCGCACACCTCACCCAAATCTGCCCGCTTCTCACCACCCAACTCCATCACTGAATCTGTCAATTCAAGCAAGGGGCCACCATCTCTTGCTTGAAGCAGACTGTCCCGTGTTGGCTCCTTCCTGCGACCTGGCTCTCAGTTCACAACTCCCTTTCAGAAAAGGTGTCTCTGGCGACCCCACCTCAGGCAGCTTCAGCAAGCTCTGGTCTGAGGGCCGAATGTGGCCCACAGCCTGTTTTTGTAAATAAAGTTTTATTGGAATGCAGCCACGCTCATTCATTTACAATCGTCTGTGGCCGCTTTCATGCTGCAATGGCAGAGCTGGGTAGTGGTGACAGAGACCACACGGCCACAAAGCCTAAAATACTTACTCTATTCTCTGGCCCTTTACATGAACTTTGCTGGGCCCTTCTCTAGGATGTTACCCTATTTTGTTTTTTCTTCAAGGATTTATCAGGACCTGCTATTTTCTTGTTTACCCTTCATTTGCTTGTGGCTTTTCTACTCCCCTCACTCAGCTCTAAGCTCCAGGAGAGCAGGAGCCTTTCTGGCTCAGCTGTGTCCCCAGCGTGGGCAGCAGTGCTGAGCACGCAGGTGGTTCTTCATAGGGGCAGGCACATGAGTGCACGGTTCCAAGCTCCCGAGGGCCTGCCCCGAATGACTCAGCTCTTACTCTGAAAAGGAAGCAGGTGACAGCCGACCCACCACCGCCACCACCGTGCGTGCACACATGTACAGGCACACACAGCAGGCTCCTGACCACGCTGATCACACCTGAGGCATTTTTAGGTCACCACACCGCAGTTCCGTAAGTCAGGCCACCTGTGGGGAGCTAGGGTGGGGCCCCAGGGGGCTGAACGCATTGCATAAGAGGGTGCTCGGGCCCGAGACACAGACCACTGATCCCAGTCAGACCACAGGCGTCTTGCAAAGTGTGCCCACACCGCCTTCTGTAAGAACCCCTGTTTTTAGGTTGCTGATCTTGGCTTCGTGTTGTAAACCTATCGGTGACAGCCCTAGGATGATCACTGGATCCCTGCTGTGGACAGTCTGGTGACACTCCAGAGGCCACCCTGAGGACCCCTGGTGCTCCCCCCACATCCGCCACCCTCCTCACCACCAGGACAGGGGAGGAGACAGCTGGGCACGTCTCTGTCCCCAGTCCTCTTGGGGCCGGCCTGCCTCAGGACAGCCTCTGGCCCTAGGATAGTGCCTGTGCTGGCCTGGCCGTGGAACCCACGGCGCTGACGGAGGTGGACACTCTCGAAAGGCTGGCGTCTGGGAGCAGGGAGGTGGAAGACCTGCTGTGTCCTGGAGGGTCTGGAAGCGGGGCAGCCTCCTGGGCTGGCCCTCCTGAACACAAGGGACCCCCAACCTGAACTGGGCTGAAGGTGAGCACCGGGACCCCAGGGAGCCACACCCTGAGTGTTGCTGGGGCCAGGGTTCTGTGCGTGACAGTCAGTGTCCCATGTGATCGACACCAGGTCTGACCCACTGCCGGCTTCTCTATACAAGTTTCTGGAACACAGCCAAGTGTGAGAGACTGGCTTGCAAGGCTGAACACGTTTCTTACTTGGCCCTCTACAGAAGAGGTCTGCTGACTCCTGAGCTACCCCGCCACACGCTGTGTGATACGGCGCCCTCTCCAGGGACACCCCTGCCACAGGGCTGTGTCCCGAGGCATCTCAAGTTCTCGTCTCCTCCCCTCAGACACAGCCTTTAAGATTCGAGAGAGATGTCTGCTGCCCCAACCTGGGACCCTGGAAAGCAGGAGCCAGGAGGGTGGCCCAGGCCCACCCTTCCATCGCAGTTTCAGGTGGGGATACTGCTCATCAGAGGAGGAGGCACCCGGCCAAGGTCACAGAGGGAGGGAGTCAGGCTGCCAGCCCTCAGACCATCCCTTGGCTTCTCCCGCTTATCATCTGCCACCCCCCCCCCCCCCCCCGGCCCCATCTCAGCTTCCAAATACTGACTGAAGTCCTGCCACGTGCCAGCACAGCCCTCCAGCTCTCGGCACTGGGCTACAGCAGGGAGCGAGCCACCAGGCCCCTCAGCGGGAGACTTCCTCGTGGGAGAGTCAGACTAGGGAGTAAGTCAACAAGGTAGTTTCTGACTGTGAGTGCTAAGTGCCATGAAGAAAGAGGCTGACGGCCAGCTGGGGTGAGGGTGGTGGTCAGGGAGGGCCTGGGGAGGAAGCAACCTTGCACCAACCTGAAGACCAGGAAGGAGCCAGCCATGCAAAGGCCTGAGGAAAGGATGGTCTGAGCAGAGGGGACAACTGCAGGGCCCGACCCGTGGAGGCCACAGAGGAAGGAGTGAGGGGGAAGAGGTAAGGTCAAAGGGGCCGGCAGGGGCCAGTCTTGCAGGTCCCAAGGCCAAGATGAGGAACCGAGTTTCTCTCCAAGTGCACTGAGGGGAGTGCCACGACCCGTGTCCTCTCCTTCAGAGGAGCTGCCTCTCGCCTTGCCCAGCCCTGTGCTTCTTCCATGAAAAGAACAGTAATAAGGAAAACAAACCAGAAGCGCTATTAACTGAGAGCTTACACCTCACGCGGCACAGCCGGGAGTACAAGTTCTCTCATTCAAGCCACATACTTGCCCCACTGGGGAAGGTACCTTCCGCATCATCAAAGTCACTGCCCAAGGTCCCAGCTGAGCGGCCGGGAAGCCAGCTCCATATTTTGAGCTGCTGCTGGCTGATCTTAACCAAAGACAGAATCAGAAATCCTCCAGTCCAGAGGGTAGGGCCCCTCTCCAGATGCCTGATCTCTGCCCCAACCCTCCTCAGGTCAGGGGGCACCTTGGGTGGCCCGGGCAGATCCTCTCGCTTGGCTGGGCTGCCTAGCCCCCTTCTTTCCTTGGGGTAGGCTGGGGTGGGCAGGTCGCTTAGCTCTGCTGGCTGGCCTCACCTCCCGGTCTTGAGGGCTGATGTGTGCAGGGACACAGGTCGAAGTCAGAGTCATCTCTCAGCTTGCACAGACCCCAGAGGAAGTTATGTGCCTGGAACACCCGAGCACTAAGCGGAAATTGTGTGCCGAGAATGACCCCAGCAACGATCCCACCCCCACCCCCGAGCCTGGCTCCTGACCCCCTCTGGTGGTGAGATAACACCTTTGTTCAAATTCCAAACAGCATTTCCCTTGGGCTGTGGAGCTCAAGTTTCAGAGTGACTCAGAACCTCCATTTTCCCACCTGCAAAGGGGGCTGAGGACGCCTGGCCGGCACAGCTCTCTAGCTGTTCAGGGAGAGAGAGGCAGGGAGAGTTCAGGTGCTTCCAGGCTGGGAAGGAGCTGCGGTCTCTCCCTCTGCGCCTGCCTCGGTTACGGCCTCTGTGAAATGGGAGATTAGGCGGGGCCCTGCTTCCTTTAAGAACTCCCACCAAAAGTCACCGACTCAACGGCTTCAGAGGCCAGCCGGTTCCTAAACGGGAGAGGCCAGTGAGGACCAGTGAGGACCGAGGCCACCCAGAAAGCGCAGTCGCCCAGCCCACTTCTCCAGACCCCGCAGACTGGGACAAAGGAGTGAGGCCCCGACGCCGCCGGGAGGCCAGGACGGCCCGAACCATCACCGGACAACGGGTGCGCTGAGACCCCTGCAGCCCCAGGGCGCAGCGCCCACGGGCGCCTCCAGACTCTCCTCCGCTCACACGTCGCGCATGCCCCGGCGCCGTGCCTCGACTCCGGAGCCCCTTACCTGTTCTCACCCGCTCTCCTGGAGCCCGTGCAGCCGCCACCCCGCCAGCCAGCAACAAGCGCCCTTCTCCGCGCCGCTGCTCGGGGCCAGAGTCTGAGACAGCCCTGGCTGCGCGCCCAACCCGCCCGAGCCCGGAGGCCACCTCGACGCGGCGGCCGGGGCAGCTCGGAGGTGGCGTGCGGGAAGCCTTCGGGCTCGCGCGCCGCAGCCCGGCCGGGGCTCTCCTGATCTCCTCGGCCCGCGCCCCGCGCCCCCCCGCCCCGCCCGGCGCCGCCCACTCCCCGCGGCCCACCCTCCCGGACGCGCCCCTCGGGCGGCTCCGCCAATCGGAGCCCCGGCGCGGGCGGGGCGGGGCGGGGCGGGGCCTGGGCCTGGGCGCGGCCGGGAGCCCGGGGTCCGAGGAGCGCGCGCGGGCGGGGCGGGGTGGGCCCGCGGGCCGGGCTGGGCTGGGCCGGCTCCCTGGTGTGACCCACCCGACCCCCGTTTCCCTCTCCGTCCGCCGGACGGCGCACCCCGGGGCGCTCGTCCCGCTGGAGGCTGCGTCCTCGCGCGGCGGGGTCTCGGGCCGGGAGGGGCGGGAAGCGGCTGCTGTGCAGGAATTCCGCCGCTTCCACGCGCCCCCCGCCGCCCGCTGCCGGCTGGCGTCGCCGGCTCTTCGCGGCCGCCGAGAGATGGTGATCGTGATAGCGAGACTCAGCCGCGTTACCTGTCTTATATTTTCAACTTTTTGTACTGGAAACTTTGGAACACACGCTGAAGGAAGGAAGAGACTGATTTAATGGACTCCGTGTACCCATCACCAGCTGGGAGGCCCCCACCCCTCCCGTGCCTTCTGTGACCCTAGAATGACATTCCCAGCCTCCGCGCTCCACGAGGTCTGTCTCCGCCTGTCTCTGCCCTCCTCCCAACACTTGGCTCACACTGGCTGCTTCCAGTTCCTCAAAGCCCCAGGTCTTCCCACCCCTGGGCCTTTGCACTTCCCCTTTCTTCCAGATCTTCCCCATGGCTGGCATTCAGGTGTCAGCTCAAGCTGTCACCTCTTCAGAGGCTTCCCTCATGGCCTGTGAGGCAGCACCCTGCCTGGTCACCCTCGACTCCCTCACCCGGTTTATGATTCTGTGAAGCGTTTCTCCTGACCGAAGTCATCTTATTAGGTCACTTGTTTACTCGGTTGTGGTGTCTCTCCTGGCCTTGAGCCCCTGGGCTGGGCTGTATGCGTCCTGTTCCTTCTGTTGCCCCAGGTGCTGAGACCTGAGCTCAGCCCTGTAGAAATGTGGCGAGTGTCTGTGGCACAGACGCAGTGTGTCTCGCCAGATAGGGCAGACCCAGGCACTCTGAAGAGGGGCTGGCCCAGGCCAGTGCACTGCCTGCTGGGCCAGGACCAAGGCAAGAGACAGCAGCAGGAGGAAGAGCTGACCCGGCTCCAGGGGCCTCTGTCCCAGACCTTGCTGCCCCCAGGGCTATGGGCCTGGGACCTGCTCTCCTGGGTGGTGTGGGCGGAACCTGTGACTTGGGGCCCAGGGCTGGGCTGTGCCCCTCCCAGCCCAAGTGAACTAGGGTCTGGGCAGGGACTGAGAAGGGAGAGGATGGGGCAGGGGAGAAGGGAGGAGGAAGAGGCCAGGAGAAAGGAGGGTGGGGGTGCAGGGCAAGCGAGGGGGCCACCAGCTGTGGCCTTGGAGAGCCCACCTCCACCACGTTCAGTGCTGTCACCGTCATGGGCAAGGGCAGGCAGTGCTCACCGAGCATCCCATCTGGCAGAAGGCACAGCCTCACCCGAGTATGCGAATATTTATAAATGCATTGCCCCCATGCCATGCTGAGAGATCAGGATTTTCAGCCTCTCTTACGTCAAGGTTTGAGAAGGTTGGTCCTCTTCTCCACACGGAGCTGTCCCTTCAGATGGGGCGCGTGTTCCCCTGTTCCTGCAGTCCCCGGCTCTTTGCCCTCTTCATCTGCTTACCCACACGCGCATTCCAGTTGAAGAAGCATCTAGACTGATGAGCCCTGACGGTACAGCCAGGCCCCCACGCACGCGACAGAGAAGGGGACAAGGCCCTGACATCCCAGAGGCTGAGTTTTAACCAGGGAGGTTTGTTGGGACATTGAGACACTGGGAACTGCCATCCCAAATGGACATACAGCTTGTTGCGGGGAGCGGAAGGGGACTGAGAGCTGAGCCTTCAAGGCCGTGGCGAGAGGGGTTCTCAGGGAAGGCAGGCCCTGCCTGGGGCTCGGTGGCCACGGGAAGGGAGCTGGAAGGCCTGAAAAAGCAGGGCTGTCCTACTTGCACGGCGCCATGGCATCTCACACTGTGCCTGGCACAGAGCCGGTGTCCAGGAGAGGTCGGCCTTTTCACAAGTCTGGAAAACCAGAGGGAGAATGCACACCTGAAGTATTGGTCTTGGAGTCCGGAGACCCCAACTAGCCTTGTCTCACGACTGGTCCAGGGCCCAATGGGGCCTCAGTCTCCTCGTCTTCCTTCCGGGGCGACCCCTGGTGAATCTGGGGTGCAGCTCTGGGAAATGCCCCAGAGGCAGCACACGCTCCATCATCCAGCCGTCCGCCCCTTCCCAAAGGGACCAGCTGTGGGCGAGAAGAGCTGGGTGGAGAGCTGGGCTCCTCTAAATAAGAGGAAAAACTCGTGACTCAGGGAAAGGCAGAAGTTGAGTCAGCCAAGCCACAAGCTGTGGAAAAAATGAGGAGACCTTGAGGCTTTTCCTACTCTTCGGCTAAGAAGCTGTCTCTGAGGAAAAGCTGGCTTCCAGAGCACGGGGACGGGCTTTCAGGGAAGCGCGAGGCACAGGGTTTTCAAGTGAGGGGTCTGGGCACCACCCCTGTGGAAAATGGCAGGGTTTTCCTGGGGTCGTGTCTTAAGTTCTGCCTAGGTGCCAAGCTCTGTGTGCTAGACTCTTCACGCTGTCTTCTCTCTCCCAAGGCTGACCTGTCCCTCCCAGCTGGGACCCAGGAGGGTGAGGCAGGCCCAGAAGCAGTTCGGGGGGTAGCAAGACGAACATGTTTCCTCAAGAGAGAGAGAAGGAACGGGGCAAGATGTTAACCATTGACGGCTGGCCGTCGTCAGGGTCGGCAAGCTTTTTCTGCAAAGGGCCAAATAGTCAATATTTTGGGCTTTGCCAGCCAGGAACCCTGTGACAACTACTTGACTCTGCCATTGCAGAGGGAGAGCAGCCCAGACAGCGCGCCAGCCCACGTGCAGGCTTCCCCAGGGGACACCGCCGTTTGAATGTCACGTCATTTTCATGTGTTATGAAACATCATTCTTTCAATTTTTTCCAACCACGTAAAACTGTAAAAGCCATTCTCAGTTCCTGAGTGATGAGAACCAGGCTGCGGGCTGGAGCTGCTGACCCCTGGCTCACAGCTGTTTGTTGCACTTTTCTTGCAACAATTCTGTCAGTTTGAAAATACTCAAAACAGGAAGTTGGGAAAACAAATAAAGAAAAAAAAAAAAGGAAACAGAAGTTGTCCTACTTATCATGGGCGGATCTTGAACTTGACTGCAAATTGATTCAGTTCCCATGGTTCTCCGTGCTGCTTTCTTGATCAATAACAGAGCTGAGACATGAGGCTCAAAGCCATGAAAGTGTGCGACATTTGGGAAAGATTTCTAGAAATGGTTGCGAAGATTAGCTTTAAAGGAGGAAGCCCTGAGATGTTTAGAAACTATGATTTCAGAAGAAAATCTCTCCAGATCTCTGGACTTTGGATTGCTCAAGTAGTGGATCTGGAGCTGACCCCTAGTCCACACTCTGCTGGACCGCCCGCAGTGACGCCTCTCCCCCACCGCCCTGCCCCGGCCACGTCCATATTTGTTCCTTTCTCTGCGTGTGTCCCGGTGTTTGTGGTTCCAAGGCTGCACTTCCTTGTCACGTTTGCAGGCACTGTTGTGCCCAGTTCCCATCACAGGTGTCCCCGTGAAGCTCTGACCAAGCCAAAGGGGAAAACAAGAGTAACGAAGAGAAACTGTCCTTTGGAAAGTGCTTCGGAGGGGTGAAACACGCACTGCATCTAGAAACCGCCTTCCGAGCGGTTTAGACGCACCTCGTTTCTCGGCCGGGGTAAAGCCGAGAGGCCTCTGCCACGCAGGTGTGACGAAGCTCCCTCTGCTCATTCATCTGGTCAACAAACAGTTGTTGGACACACTTTGCGCCACTTTGCTCAGGGCGGGCAGTAGCTGCAGAGGTGAACGAGGCGCTGTTTGTGCCTTTGGGGGGCCTCACTGCTGAGCAGGGGGCAGACCCGTAAACATGTATTTACCCATGAGGATGGAGAACCGCCCCTGCAGAGCAGAGGGCAGAGGTCCTCTCGGGTGAGAGCCTTCTCCGTCAGATAAACACCTTTTGGAGCACCATTTGGGCCTTAGAAAGTCAGCCGTTGGGGTCTGGCTGGCAAAGAACTCTTCACCTGCCTTATTTAGGGCAAGAACAGGAATTTTAGGGGCAAGGAACAAGCAAGCTAGAGAGAGGAACAGGTCAGCGCGTGGTGTGGGAGAGGGCCAGGGAAGCTGTCTGCTGGGGAGCGGGGCTGGGCTGGCGGGAAAAGGCTTTGGAGGCCAGGGGTGGGTGACAGTCCATTCTGAATTCCTTGTTGAGCTGCCCGAGGTGCCCCACATTTTTGGCTATTACCCCTCAAAACTTCGTGAAATCCACAGCCTTGATGATGGGCACGTGGACTGCGACATCCACCCTCCGTGGCGGGCAGCCTGGCGACATCATCCACGTCGAAGAATGCACAGACCTTCCGTCCAGCTAGGCCACCTCTAGAAGTTTACTCTTAGACTATTGTATTTTGCAAAAGGATATATGCTCACGTTTATTCACTGCAGCTTTGCTTACAGTAGGGAAAGAGTGGGGACAACTCCCATGTCCGCCGACAGGGGCTGCATAAATAAATTGTGGCCCATCCATACGACGGACTGGATTCCCGCAGTTAAAGGGAAGATGTGGAAGAATTCCCAAAATGTAGTGAGTGAAAAAAGTAAGGTGCAAAAGCGAGTAAGTGTGACTTCCTGTGTGAGTGTGTGTGAGATATCTTGCTGGCAGAATCCACAAGAAATTGGTCACAGGGGTTGCCTCTGGAAGGGAAAATGGGTGGCTTGGACCCAGGGTAGGGAGACCCACATTTTATCCCCTTGTAGCGTTCGTGCTCTTCTAGTTCCCTCCCACACTGGGGAGGATGGACCTGTGTAACCAGTAGGATGTTGTGGAACGATGGGGTGCGACTTCCAGGCTGGGTCATAGGAGGGTTTGTGGCTTCTGCCTTGCTCTCTTGGATCACTGACTCTGGAGGATGTGGATTAGGAAGGCCAAGCAGCCCTGTGCAGGAGCCTGTGCTGAGAAACTGAGGCCTCCTTCAATAGCCAGCACCAGCTTGCCAGCCTCTGAGGGAGCCATCCTGGAGGAAGGTCGTCCAGCTGCAGAGAAGCCCTGAGGTGACAGCTGCAGCCTCCTGCGAGACCTTGAGGCCGAGCGTCCAGCAAAGCCGCTGAGTTCCTGACCCACAGAAACCCCGTGATATAATAAACGTTGATTGTTTCAGGCGGCTAAATTTTGAGACAGTTTGTCATGCCGCAACACATAACTGGTACGTTCCTTTATGTCTTTTGAACTTTGTGCCCTTTGCATTTGTGCATGTCCAAATAATGGTGGTGATCATGACAATATTAGTAGTCATCACAGTAACCTGGTGTGCACCGTGGACCATGTGCGTGACAGTTCAGGGCTGCTACCCCTTGGCGGCCGTGGGGTGTGGGAAGGGAAGGACTGCTGGGGTGGTGCGCCTGGACTAAGAAGGGACCCCGCGAGAGTGCTCAGAGAGGGGAGGAGGGGCCTGACTTCCGGGTGTGTGCATGGGGGGCGCCTGTGCAGAGAATGAACAGCCCGGGGCACAAAGCTGTCCTCTAGCTCCTGCTGGCCCACAGGCCCCCTTCGTTCGGCCAGCGCGTTAGATTTTAAAACCTGGGCTCGACACCCGCCAGAGCTGCTGCAATGATAAATATGGACAGTATCGAGTGTTGGTGAAGCTATAGAGCCAGTGTTCCTGGCGGGACTATAAATCGGTCCGGCGACTTTGGAAACATTTGGTGGCATCTGCTGAAGCTCACCACACCCTGTCCTGTGGCCCAGATTCTCCTAAGTGTGTCTCACAGAGAAACAAGGGCCGCGCCTACCTAAGAAACGTGCAAGAATGATATAGAACGCTCTTTGTGAGAGCTCCGAGATGAGCAGGACCACAGACCACCCCAGGTGCAGCGTGTGGGAGAGACTGGCACCGTCACCCCACTGAGTCCTCCGCGGCGGTAGAGAATGCTGCTGCCCGGGATAGGCTGGGTCTCGGGGGAGGAACCCCGCGTAGCTCACTTGGAGTGAAAGAAGCCCGACACAGAAGAGGACGTACTGTGTTATGTGAGGTCCAAAACAGGCAGACCTTGTCTCCCACGGTGACAGAAATCAGAATGGTGGTTACTCGGGAAGGACACTGGTGTCAACTGGGAAAGGGCAGGCAGGAGCTCTGGAGGGTGCTGAAAATGTCTTATATGATTTTATGGATCTTGATCTTGGTGATGATTCCATGTGGGTGTGCATATGTAACACCTGATGAAGTGTGCACTTAAGATTTGTGCACCCTACTGCGTGTATGTTATACCTCAGCAAAAGAAAGTACAAGGAACTAAAACCGGTCTGAGTCTGAGAGCGGAGAGGGCATGCACATCCCTGATCCCCACGCCCCGCCCCCTGCCACTGCCCTCTGAAGGCTCAGTCTGCGGCTCCTGCAGGAGGCGCCCTTTCCCAGTGCTTCTTGGGCGCCTCTCCCAGAATACCCCTGAGCCCGGGAGGGGCGGGCAGCCAGGGACAGGGGAGAGCGTACGATGTTCTGGGATTTTCTCCCCTACACTGTGCCCAGTCACCTTACTGTGGAGGCAGCCGTGGAAAGGCGTGTGACATTGCGGTTTATAATAAATATGTATTTGGCTTTTGTCTCCTGTTTCTGGCACAGAGCTCCTAAAACCCTTGGAATTTCATAAGTGATGAGAGCCATAAAGGTGTCTTTTGTGACGTGAATGAGGGGACTTTGGGGAAGTACCTATCAGTGGGGGCTGGTTGCTAAGAGAAGTGCGGACGGATTTTTGGGGCCCCTCTCCTTGGTCTAATGGGTAAATCTAACAAGCAAAGTGCATGGGCTCTAAGTCAGTACGATGGAATCCACACTGTGCTGTGAAGCAGACGGGCAGGCCATCTTCAGCCTGTGTCAGATGACCTGGCAGCCCCACACCTCATGACCGCGGACGCCAGCTGCAGGGATCCGCAGCAGGAAGTGATAATGGGGGACCTGGTGCTCACTTCCCCAGCTGCATTTCTTAGAGACGGGGGCCTAGCCAACAACCCTGGTCCTTGCCTCCTCCACACAGATAATGTCAGCATCTCTGAACTTGTTTGACGTAAAACCAAGGAATTCTTGTTTATGTTATTTTTAATGTATAATCTAGAGAAGAACCCAGATGTACTCTACCCCCCTTTTCTTGAAGTCTTTTTGTCAGTTTTTTGTCTGTTCCTCTCCCCTCGTGTACACTGTTTGGTGAAGGAGACGTAAGCTGCGCTTAAACCCGCGCACTCGGAACAGCTCCATCAGAGCCCTCTGAGAACTCACGCTGATCGTTGAGTAACCTCCTTCACTAGCGTCGCCCAGACTCTTGATTTCAGCAGGCAGAACCACCCCGTGGTTAGAGGGCTGCAGCTGTCAGGCCCACCCCCGACCTCTGGGGAGGGGGGAGGGGCTGGAGGTTGAATCAGTTGCCAACCAATGAGTTAATCAATTGTGCCTCTGTAATGAAGCCCCATAAAAATGCAAAGAGATGGGGTTGCGGGAGCTTTGGGTTCCTGAACTTGTGGAGTTTTGGGGAGAGTGGCACGCCAGGGGAGGGTGTGGAAGCTCCAAGCCCCTCCCCGATCCGTGCCCTATGTGTCTCTTCCATGTGGCTGTTCCTGATCTTTATCTTCTCTGTGACAGACCAGTAATTTAGTAAGTAAAATGTTTCTCTGAGCTCTGTGAGCCCCTCTAGCAAATTAATCGAACCTAAGGAGGGGGTCGTGGGAACCTCTGATTTGTAGCCAGTCGGTCAGAAGCACAGGTGACAACCTGGACTTGTGATTGGTGTCTGAAGGGGGTTGCAGTCTTGTAGGACTGAGTCCTTAACCTGTGGGATCTGGTGATATCTTCAGGTAGACAGTGTCAGAATTGAGTTGAATTGTGGGACCCCCAGCTGGTGTCCGAGCGTTGCTGGTGGTGTGGGGAAACCACGCAGTGGGGCTGGGTGCAGGATATTCATGCGCAGCTCAGCCTCCTGCAACAGGGATCGTGGTTGACTGAGCCCCAAAAGCAGCTTTTCTGGATCCACTCCTTTCTCGCCCAAGGCCCTGCTTTCCCCAGGCTGCTCCCAGCCTCTGTCTGAGCAGGCAGCAGTGCCAACACTGGGCCGTTCCTGGGAGATGTGGAATCTTGGGCCATGTTGGAGCCAGTTTGGGCTGCTATAGCCAGCTATCGTAGCCTGAGGGCTTTAAACAATAGAAATCTCTTTTGGACAGTTCTGCAACCTGGCAGGCTGAGATCAGGATGCCAGCATCGTTGGGTTCTGGTGATGGCCCTTTTCTGGGTGGCAGATGGCTGTCTTGAGAGAGACAGCTAACTCTGTCTGGCCTCTTCTTAGAAGGGTCCTAATCCCATTCACGAGGGCTCCACCCTCATGACCTAAGTACTTCCCAAAGGACCCACCTCCAAATGCCATCACACTGGGGAGTAGGTTTCTACATGTGCCTTTTAGAGGGGACGCACTCTGTTCATGACAGGCAATTTTTTTTTTTTAATGTTATGATAGATTACAACCTTGTGAGATTTCAGTTGTACATTTTTGTTAGTCATGTTGTGGGTACACCACTTCCCCCTTTGTGCCCTCCTCCCACCCCCCCTTTTCCCTGGTAACCACCGATCAGATCTCCTTGTCAATATACTAACTTCCACCTATGAGTGGAGTCATATAGAGTTCGTCTTTCTCTGACTGGCTTATTTCGCTTAACATAATACCCTTGAGGTCCATCCACGTTGCTGTGAATGGGACAATTCTGTCTTTTTTTTATGGCTGAGTAGTATTCCATTGTGTATATATACCATATCTTCTTTATCCAATCATCAGTTTCTGGGCATGTAGGTTGGTTCCACGTCTTGGCTATTGTAAATAATGCTGCGGTGAACATAGTGGTTCAAGGGGCTCTTGGGATTTCTGATTTCAGGTTCTTAGGATAGATACCCAGTAATGGGATGGCTGGGTCATAGGGTATTTCTATTTTTAACTTTTTGAGAAATCTCCATACCGTTTTCCATAGTGGCTGTACCAGTTTGCATTCCCACCAACAGTGTATGAGGGTTCCTTTTTCTCCACAACCTCTCCAACATTTGTCACTCTTGGTTTTGGATGTTTTTGCCAATCTAACGGGTGTAAGGTGATATCTTACTGTAGGTTTGATTTGCATTTCCCTGATGATTAGCGATGATGAACATCTTTTCATGTCATGACAGGCAATTTTGACCCAAGGATTCCCCATTGGCCTGCCAGCTGTTTTCTTGGAACTGCACTGCAGTTTGCGACTCTTTTGACCCAATTCTTCCTTCTCCCTCTCTTCCCAGGTGTCAGACAGGCATGGTAGTCTGCAGGCCTCCCCACCCTTCCCGGCTGCCTCTTTATCCTTCACGGCTCTTCCCTCCAGTGCATCTCCTGCATGTCTGCTCCTGTCTTGCTGTATGCTTATTGGGAGACCGGACTAAGAAACAGATGTACCCGGTGTGTCCTTCTCCCACCACGCAAGACCCGAATCTGCAGACACCTTTAAAGTCTCGGACACCCCGCCTCTGCTCTTCCTTCCCTTCCTTTCCTGTCTCCCAAACCCTCATCTTTCTCCTCCTCACCAGCTGAGGTGATGCAAGAGCTTTCATTCACCCTCTCTTCACATCTTAGGAAAGTTTTCTTTTTAAATTTTTTAAAGTTTAACTTTATTCTTTAAATTGAGATACAATCAACATATAACATTAGATTAGTTTCAGATGCCCAACATAATGATTCAGTGTTTGTATATACTGTGATATGATCATCACAGTAAATCTGGTTAGCATCCATCACCACTCATAGTTACAAACTTTTTTTCTTGTGATGAGGACTGTTAAGATTTTACTCTGTTAACAACTTTCCTGTATACAATACAGTATTATTAACTATAGTCACCATGCTGTACGTTACCTACCCACGACTTATTTATTTTATAACTGGAAGTTTGTACGTTTTGTCCTCCGCTCATTTCACCCACTCCCCATCCCCCACCTCTAGCAACCACCAATCTGTTCTCTGTATCTATGAGTTTGGTTCTTTCTTTCTTTCTTTTTTTTTAGATTCCACATATAAGAGAGGTCATATGGTATTTGTCTTCTCTGTCTGACTCATTTCACTTCACATAATGCCCCCTAGGCCCATCCATGTTTTTGCAAATGGTAGGATTTCCTTG